AGAATCGAGGGTAGGCAGAATGTGAGTCACCATTAACACAGATGCATAGAACCACTACGCCATTCCCAGCACAAACATTTTAGAATCGAAGAAAACACTATCGGAAACAAATAATTGATCTATAAGTTTCATTCTTATAAGTTACCACCTATTGATAATGCCTGTCGATGAAAAAAAGATGTTAATAACAATATATTTCAACTAATACGGAAGAAGGGCAAAGAACAGTTATCTTAAAGTCAGTCGTGTTTCATACTAATACTGTGTTAGATTAGTATTGTGTGTATGCCCGTCATGATCCATGACGAGGGAATGATCATACAGTAAGATATCTGTCACGGTATGTGATGGAGGAGGGCATAACTAAGGTGTCTCTCACGATTTGTGAAGTGTCCTTACTGGGATGTCTGCCATAGCGGTGAAGAGGGCGAGGAGCAGCATATATAGCCAAGTAACAAAATCATTTTTAGAATTATCTCTAGTTTTTTCAGTAGTATGACATGCAATCAAGTTCAATAGTCTACAAAGCGAATATTTCCTTTCTATTCAAAAAACTTTGTTAAAGAGGGTGTGGATGTGAGTGTGAGTATGAGTCTGGCTGCAATTGTTCTTTCCATTCACATCCACATCCCACGCCTACGCCCACACCCAATATATATTTCGAGTCTATGCCCACTACTCGTATTCATCTCGGTCAATGTTCGGTTTATGACTCAAATATGTAAATCGGCACGTTTCTGTGTCTTAAAATTTGTGACTTCAGGAATGCTAAGAAAATTTTTTCACTACTTTCTCTTTATAAAAGCAAATTAAGAAAAAGGTGCGCGTGTACATCAAATTCACGTTGTATGTTTGTCTCGACTTTGCAAGCGGATTATGACATTTTTCGGTGAAATAACAACAATTTCATCCAGTTGTTCAGTTGATTCCCGTGTTTGTTTACCACAATCAATGATTGAATAAGTTTTTAGCAAGCGAATAAGAACTAATTTCATTTCCATCATTGCAAAACGCATGCCAACACAATTTCGTGGTCCGATACCAAATGGAATCCATGCGAGTGGATGCCTTTTTGTAGCAAATCGTTCTGGATAAAATACATTCGGATCAACTGGACCCCATAGATCAGGATCAAAATGTACACTATAAATATCAACAGTGACAATTATTCCAGCAGGAATTGTACCGATATGACTGATATGAAAATCTTCTGTACTTTGTCGATTGATGGCGATTGGTACAATCGGATACATACGAAGAACCTCTCGAATGAACATATCTAAATATTCCATTTTCGAGATTGTTTCATAGCTGGGTACATCATTGTCTGTATCCGGATTGAAATGAGAATCGATATGTTCTTGTAATTTGAGTTGTTCATTTGGATTAGTTGCAAGAACATAAGTAGCATAAGCTAGTGCAGTACTTGTTGTTTCATAGCCGGCAATCACTATACAGAAATAAATGTGTTGATAACAAAAAGCCATTCAGACGAATAGATATTACTCACTAAAGAGGTAGATGTTACCAGCAATTTCATGTTTAGTAATCTTTCGAACAAGTGATGCTTCGATCTCTGTGTCCGTAGTAACATCAATTGGTGCTGAACGATCCTACGATAGTAAACAATAGAACAATCTGATACATCAGATTCACTAATGTTTGAGCGCAACTCATTTCAGAAACGATCGTTTCGCGTTATATGGATAAGAGAAACGGCAGACAATCAATAACTAGTCTTTACAATACAGAGTAAAACGTGTTGGATATGAGCGATGAGACAACGTACTCATATTAAAAAGTTAGATCTATCATGTTCTATATGAAAGTAAATTCAGCTTCATGACCGAAAAATAATCTCCAGCTGTCAGCACTTTTTTCTATCTTTGGAACTTCCAAAAGTAAATCTTCCAAATCTGATCTGATCAAAATTGCATTAGATTAGAAGAAGTTCTCACTCTGCTCATTAGATAGCATGCAGTAAAGCTCATCGACTCAAGTATGAATACCTTTGCAAAAGCTTGTTACAGGAGATAACCGTATCAAAACTCTAAATAAAAACTCGATCTGAATAATAATTTAGAAATATGGACATTAAAATGAAAAATCTGACATTTTTATCTTTTGTGGAAAATCCTGATGCATCTTTTTGTTTCCACTAAAAAGTCTTCAGCAATAGATTCTCATATATTTCTTCTTACAAATTGACGTTGGCCTCCTCTGTGATCATCGAAAACCGGCTGGTTCTAGGTTATTCTCATAAGAAAATCTCTTACTTGCCTGAATCTATGCGGGAATACTTCAAGTATAGAATCAAACGAGTAAAATGTCATACTTGAATGAACTCTTCATCCGACGCTGATTCAAGCATCAATTGTAATAGATCCATTCGGCTTGTGTGACCCAAATTGACTCTTTTCTTGATCAGTTCTTGCGCTTGTTTCTTTATCCATATAACTGGATCATTAGTGATCAGCTTTTGTACTAGAGGCACATAATATCGGAGCCATCTACGCACAATATTATCCACTGCGCGTAACGTATTCCAAAACCATTTGAATTCGGGCATGAACACACACAAGAGTATAATCTTACTAAAAGAATATTCTGCGCTGAATACACGTTGTGATTGAATAAGATATGGATCATTCGGGTTGTTTTGCATGTCTGTATCAAGACCAAATGCACATGACCATATAGTATCCATAGTAAAACGTTTCAAAAATGCATAAATATCGAATGGTTCGCCAAGTTGATATTGTTCAGTTAATTTTTTCATTAATGCGTCGATACTATGATTAATTAATGGGGACATTTGTTTGAGTTTGGCGGATGAAAATGTTGGATTAATAACAAATCGTTGTCGTTTCCAACGAAGACCTTGAGCAGTAAATAGATGACCTTCTTTCTCATGTGGGTTATCGAATACATATTCACGATGTGAATTAAAGTTTGAAAATGATGTAATAAACATATCTTGTAAAATATTCGGATCGGAGACGACAAGAATCGGTGTATGTCCTTCAAAATAGCCAAATATTCGACCATACTTTTTCGTCCATTCTTTCATACATAATGACATACGTTTTGTTTTTAAGAATTCGAAAAAATTGCCAAAAAAAAATGTTGTCGACGGACCCGGAATACCGAGTCGAATAAAAAAACTATAAGTTCGATGAATATGCCATAAATATACAACAACTAATATGATAAATACAGCAATGAGAATACTTGTTAGCATGCTGAAGGCGACGTGTGTTTGCTCCTTATACGTTACTTTGTTGACATTCTTTTGGTTTTTCTTTTTTTCCTTTCTCTTATAAAAGCCCTATGCAGCAATGATACTCTATTTATTTACTAGATAAAGATAGTGACCGACCTATCAGCGACTAAACTCGTCACTTTTAGAAGACTTTCTAGGCAAATAAAGTAGTGAATGAGCCCATGTCGTGAAAATCGCTGCGATTTTGGTGATTTCTTGAAAAATGCACGTAAAATCGCGATTAATCGAGATATGTCGAAAAATCGGAGATAAAATCAGATTTTATCGTGATTTGGTAAAGAAACTCGATTAATCGTCATAAATCGCGATTAATCGATATTTTCTTTTTTTTCCGAGAACATTAATGTATCAATTGCAACAACCGTCTGTGATTAGAAGACTACAAAAAGTCGCAACGCCAATAGAAAGTATATTCTGAAGCAAAAAATATTATGTCTATTTTTTAAAATAATATTTTTTTTATCATAAGTGTACTATATGGCTTCAAATAGGGTGCAATGATTACAGAACATTTTTAGCTTGTAGGCAAAGAGATTAGAATCTATTTATTTTCTTGTTATGCATCATTGAGTTCATTGAGATTCTTTGACGTTTTCTAGAGAAAAACCCTAAGAATGAATTCTTCGAATTGATGAACGTGTTTCAACGATCCAAAATCATGATAAGAAAGAAAAGAATGCGTTTTATGTCGTTCTTAGAATTGCATAATGCTTTTTAGTAGATTCAAAAATCAATTTCGAAAAATAAACTAAATAAATAATTTATTTTTCACAAAATACGGAAAAAGATTAAATTAAATAAAGGGAAAGGAAAATATTTTTTAATGAGAAAATACGTAAAAGAGCAAGAAATATAAGACATGCTTGCAGATTACATTTAATTATTAGTTTCATAATCTCAACAATTCCTATTTACTATTTATTTTATCATAAAAGAAATATTTTCGCTTTGTTTTGTTTAGCAGTATCATTTTCTTTATTTTTTAAATAAAGATTTTACTTATTTTTATTTTTTAAACATGTATTTTATTTATCTTCACCTTTGAAAATAAAGATTTCGTTTATTTATCTTTATTTCATAGATATAAATATTTTATTTACATTTATCCTTTATTATAAGTGAGTAATAAAGGTAAATTAATGCCCATGATCATAATCGTCTGTCTGTTAGACATAGAGAAACAAGTAATTAAAATTAAAGAGAAAAAATATTGAAAATACTTTTTTGATTTACTGTTCCGTTTAATTCAGGGTGTGGGTGTGGGTGGTGTGTGGCTGTGGCTGTGGCTGTCGGTGAGGCTGTGGCTGTGGCTGTTAGTGTAGGTGTGGATGTTGCTTGTCTGAGGATAGCTATACCCACACAATAAACTACATCATCAGAAAAGTACGCAAAATATCAAAACATTTTAGAAGACCAACATAAAGATCGATTATACATATATATTGTAAACCATCAAACGACCTGGTTTTTATAATTTCCAGCAAACGATTATTTCTTCTTTCATTTCAGACGATATGATTATTTATTTTATCGGATGTAAAGGGATTTGTGATTAAAAAAAAAGAATGAATGTTATCATCCTAAAGTTGTGTGGCCTAGTAAGAGGATCAGATGGAATTATATAATCAAAAGTATAATTTAAATTGTTAAAAGTTGAAACATATTTTTATAGGTCGACAGATTCCTTTTATTGAAATAACTAAAAATGTTTTCCAAAGTTAATACTTTGTATGTACCATCAAATCATTTTTTGATAAAAATACCAATATCTAGTGCCTATATAGTCTTCCTTGTGCATTGAATTCACAGTATACTTAACCTTCTCAATGACATTCTTCTCTAGGGGCTGCACCGTCATCAATGTAGTCGACAACAAGCAACGAAGGATTAGAGTTTTAAAGCTTTTCTATCACAAGTTTGAGTTTCGAAAATATCTTTCTCTCATTTCTTAGTAATCTATTCTTCACCACAATTGTCTTCAATTTTTCAAGGCAAACATTTTCAGAACTAAGAAAACTTCCAAAAAAAGCGTCGAACGCTTTCGTTATTGCATATCTGAGTATCGATTTTTCTCTCTGTACATCATGAGAAATTTTAAAATGTTCTTGTTAGATAAAAAAGCGAAAACCTTGGAGAACTAATTCTTGAAATATGGAAAGAAAATCTTTTTGAAGTTCGATGAATACTATTGGATTGATTTTAAAGCCTTCTTATTCACTTTGACTTGCTAACTCGTTACAAAATATAGAGACAGATTGCGAGAAAATGCTCTTCATAAGATGAAATCAAGTAGAAAGAAAGAAAGAAGAAAACAGTGTAACCTTGTTTTTTTTTCAGTATTCATTTGTTTACACATTCTACCTTCACATTGATGTCACTCGCTGCATATACGCGTATGAACTAAATAAAATGGCAACAGTAATAAAAGTATATTAGAAGAATGTTTTATTTTCTTCGTTGTTAATATACTTTTTTGTTAATCTCTCTTACTCTTGATATTTGCAGTTTCAGAAAAAAGTCAATATAATGATACAGTTATCAATCAATGCTGACGCCATCGACAACTATTGGATTGGTAAGAAATTTTTCGCGTTTTTTTCGAAAATTTTCTTTTTATTTTTCAAATATCAGAATACAATTATCAATCAACAATGTATGCTCCATTACTATCTATGACCTGTCGCCTACGCTCTAGCAGAGAAAGGATTCCTTGTTCGTAGAAGTCTTGAGAGTTTTGGTCGAAGAAGTTGAAGAGATCCATTTTGAGATCGTTCTCGTCTTCGAACTTTTTCTCACGTAAATGATTGGAGAGAGAACGGTACAGGTGGTAGTCCGTAGGAGCCAAGTCTAGAGAATAAGGTGGATGGGGAATAGTGATCCATCCAAGCTCCAATAACTTTTGGCGTGTCAACTTTGCTACATGGGATCTGGCATTATCGTGCAAAAAGTAAATTCGATCTTGTTTTCCTTTGAGTTTTGGGTGTGTGGGTGTGGGTGTGTGGGTGTGGGGTGTGGGTGTGGGTGTGGGTGTGGGTGTGAGTGTGGGGGGTGGGGGTGTGGGTATGTGTTTGGGGGTATGGGTGTGGTGGTGGGAGTGGGGGTGGGGGTGTGGGTGTGGGTGTGGGTGTTGATCAAGCATAAACTGACACCATGATGCACCGCACACTCGCACCTACACCCACACCCCTACGCCACACACACCACGCCCACACTATGCCACATCCACATCCACACCCAGACACCCACACCGACACCTACACCCACACCCACACGCCCACACCCACACCACACCTACACCCACACCCTACGATAATTTGAATCCTTTTTGAACATCCATACATTGCGTTCGAAGAATTTCATTGAACGAAAATAAACCATATTGCGTATAAGATCTCATTTTTTGTCGAATATTACCCCATGTTTGAATGGTTTTCGCGTCATGAAAGGGATTCATAAATAATTGACGAAGTATAAAATAATATTGTGAAGATCTTTCAATTTCATTGGAATATTCAATGAATGCCAATATTGTTCGTGTTTCTTGAATCATTTCAATATGTAGAAACATAGAATTGATTAGTAATAATCGAGTTTTTGATACAATAGTAAATCGTTGTGTTCGCTTTGCTTGACGAACAGCGTCTTCTGATGGTGAGAGTGAGACAAATTACCACAAATACAAGGTATTTTCACTTTTATTGATAAAGATTATCAAGTGGCAAGATACTAGTATAACAGATTTTAAGAAAAATCAATACATAGTACTTAAAATCTATTCCGAAGAATAGAAGATCACAATATAGAGTGTGAGACAAATTACCACAAATACAAGGTATTTTCACTTTTGTTGGTAAAGATCTTCGGATAGGCCGAAAATTCAGTAAAATGGTCATCACTTTTGACACGGGCACGAATCGATTAATTTGTGGTGGTACATAATCAATTTGGTTGTTCGAAAGATCAATATCATGAAGATTTGTTGATGTTAAATCATTCAAATCACTGATGTCATCTATGTTATTATATGATACTACTAAACTTGTGAGCATAGCTAACTTTAAAGGTAAAAACTTGAGTCAGCAATGCATTGCAGCGAGAACAATCAGTTCAGGAAGACCAGTGAGTGGTTGATTATAAGATCGAATCGCCTCTGTTAAGTTTTCACGATTACCTATAGTTTCAGTGAATATTGTTATGGAATTGTTTGATATATTCAATTTAGTAGCCCTAAGAGCAGCATTGTTTATTCCTAATTGATGAAATATACGGAAGTCTATTTATATAAACTCCATAAGATAACAATTGTTTTTTTATTAAATTATGTTTTACTAACAAAAAGAAACAAATTGCATCAATTGAAACGAATGCAGTTGATCCAAATGAATAAAAATACTTAAAAAATTTATTGATTCAAACAATCAAAGAAGAATGAAATTTATATTTTACATTTCTTGAGAGAATTGTATCGAACGAAAACGTTCAAGACCGTAAATATTGCTCAAAATCACAAATAAATCAATCTATCGTTCAAATATAACCTGTAGATCGCGCAAAAAAATATCAAATTTTCTGATAAGAATGACAAAAAGGAATAATTAATTGTTCTTTTACGATTTTTGTTCAAATTCAGCAACAACAGCATTATGATCGGTAGCCTTCTTAGTGTCAACAATGAAACAATCTTTTAATTTCCATTCATCATTATCACGAGGACGCCAATATATATAATCAATTCGAGTTCCATATCGAGATGTCGTTACTGATTGATCTTTCAATTGTGGATTTATTTGTTTAAAAGC